TGAAGGTCATTCATTTGAACAAACTTGGTAGCCCTTCACCCTAGCATGCTACTGACCAAATATCATCTCCCTGGGCAGTTTGGTTATTGAGAAGAAGTTGTTTAAAGTTTTTAACATATTTGACCCCTGTGACCTTGAAAATAGATGAAGGTCATTTATTTGAACAAACTTGGTAGCCCTTCATCCCAGTTTGCTTCTGGCCAAATATCATCATTAATCTAGGCCTTTCGGTTATTAAGAAGAAGTCGTTTAAAGTAAAATATTGACGCCGGACGACGGACGGACGACGGACGGACGACGGACGGACGGACGGACGGACGGACAGACGGACGACGGACGGACGACGGACGCCGCACCACGGCATAAGCTCACTTGGCACTTCGTGCCAGGTGAGCTAAAAATTAGGAGAAAATCTCCAGACAAAAAGTCAGGGAAACACAACTTCATATCATGATTATAATGTATATCAAGTTTCAAAGAGATCCGTTGAAAAATGCAGGAGGAGATCTCCGGACAAAAAATCAAATACTGAAATAAATGAACAAAGGGCAATAACATTTGAAAAAAATGTCGAATCAAAATTCTGTTAAGGGAGACACAACAACATATCATGATTATCATGTATACCAAGTTTCAAAGAGATCGATCGAAAAATGTAGGAGGAGATCTCCGGACAAACTAAAGTTACGCCGGACGGACGGACAACCCCATTCCATAATACTTCCGTCTTTGACGGGCGTATACAAAAACCTTAATTATGTGTTTTATAACAATTATAAAACTAATTATATGAACATATATTAATCACACCTGCTGGAACGGATGGTAGCCTGAAAGAGGTCTTAATGTGGGAGGAAACCGGTGTACCCATAGAAAACCCACGTGGTCGGCCCGGTGACACTTCACCTTTTCAAGTCTGATTTGCAACCACGGCCGTCTTAGTAAAAGATAAGAGCGCCATCTACTGCGCCAAATGATCACCTAAATTATTTCTTGGCAAGTGGAGAGCTGCTGTGGAATAGAGACTCTATTATTTGGAAGTGTACTCATAACCACTCATAACTGGTATTTCTGACAACATTTAACAAAACACATGTTTGTTATTCTACCGTTTGATTAACACTTTTCGTCACTTTGTTCAAACCCACGAACTACAGAACATAGTTAGGATATATACGCGTCTTTTGACTTTATGAAGTAGCAAAATGAATACTTAAAATTTACGAAATATTTGTTGTGTGGTAAAATCGTAGACGTGAATTGCCAACATACATTGTATCACATCAAACAAATTTTCATGTAGACTTATTGTCATTTGTAAACACCTATGTCACCTTGTGGTATTTGTTAACACCTATGTCACCTTGTGGTATTTGTTAACACCAATGTCATCTTGTGGTATTTGTTAACACCAATGTTATCTTGTGGTATTTGTTAACACCTATGTCACCTTGTGGTATTTGTTAACAGCTATGTCACCTTGTGGTATTTATTAACACCTATGTCACCTTGTGGTATTTGTTAGCACCTATGTCACCTTGTGGTATTTGTTAACACCTATGTCACCTTGTGGTATTTGTTAGCACCTATGTCACCTTGTGGTATTTGTTAACACCTATGTCATCTTGTGGTATTTGTTAACACCTATGTCACCTTGGGGTATTTGTTAACAGCTATGTCACCTTGTGGTATTTATTAGCACCTATGTCACCTTGTGGTATTTGTTAGCACCTATGTCACCTTGTGGTACTTGTTAACACCTATGTCACCTTGTGGTATTTGTTAACACCTATGTCAACTTGTGGTATTTGTTAACACCCATGTCACCTTGTGGTATTTGTTAACAGCTATGTCACCTTGTGGTATTTGTTAACACCCATGTCATCACCCTGTTGTATTTGTTAACACCTATGTCACCTTGTGGTATTTGTTAACAGCTATGCCACCTTGTGGTATTTGTTAACACCCATGTCATCACCCTGTTGTATTTGTTAACACCTATGTCACCTTGTGGTATTTGTTACCACTTATGTCACCTTGTGGTATTTGTTAACACCAAAGTCACCTTGTGGTATTTGTTAACACCTATGTCATCTTAACACCAATGTTATCTTGTGGTATTTGTTAACAGCTATGTTACCTTGTGGTATTTGTTAACACCAAAGTCACCTTGTGCTATTTGTTAACATCTATGTCACCTTGTGGTATTTATTAACAGCTATGTCACCTTGTGGTATTTGTTAACACTAATGTCACCTTGTGGTACTTGTTAACACCTATGTCACCTTGTGGTATTTATTAACAGCTATGTTACCTTGTGGTATTTGTCAACACCAAAGTCACCTTGTGGTACTTGTTAACACCTATGCCACCTTGTGGTATTTATTAACAGCTATGTTACCTTGTGGTATTTTTCAACACCAAAGTCACCTTGTGCTATTTGTTAGCATCTATGTCACCTTGTGGTATTTATTAACAGCTATGTCAACTTACCACCTATGTCACCTTGTGGTATTTGTTAACACCTATGTCAACTTACCACCTATGTCACCTTGTGATATTTGTTAACATCAATGTCACCTTGTGGTATTTGTTAACACCAAAGTCACCTTGTGGTATTTGTTAACAGCTGTGTCACCTTGTGGTATTTGTTAACACCTATGTCACCTTGTGGTATTTGTTAACACTAATGTCACCTTGTGGTATTTGTTAACACCAAAGTCACCTTGTGGTATTTGTTAACTCTTATGTCACCTGGTGGTATTTGTTAACACCAATGTCACCTGGTGGTATTTGTTAACACCTAAACACCAATGTCAACTTAACACCTATGTCACCTTGTGGTATTTGTTAACACATGTGTCATCACCTTCTGGTATTTGTTAACACCTATGTCACCTTCTGGTATTTGTTAACACTAATGTCACCTTGTGGTATTTGTTAACACCAAAGTCACCTTGTCGTAATTGTTAACAACTATGTCATCTGAACACCTATTTCACCGGGTGGTATTTGTTAACACCAATGTCACCTGGTGGTATTTGTTAACTCCTAAACACCAATGTCAACTTAACACCTATGTCATCTTGTGGTATTTGTTAACACCTATGTCACCTTGTGGTATTTGTTAACACGTGTGTCATCACCTTCTGGTATTTGTTAACACCGATGTCACCTTGTGGTATTTGTTAACACTAATGTCACCTTGCGGTATTTGTTAACACCTTTGTCACCTTGTGGTATTTGATAACTCCTATGTCAACTTAACACCTATGTCACCTTGTGATATTTGTTAACATCAATGTCACTATAACACCTATGTCACCTTTTGGTATTTGTTAACACCTATGTCACCTTGTGGTATTTGTTTAACCTATGTCATCTTGCGGTATTTGTTAACACCAAAGTCACCTTGTGGTATTTGTTAACACCTATGTCACCTTGTGGTATTTGTTTACACCTAAGTCACCTTGTGGTATTTGTTTACACCTATGTCACCTTGCGGTATTTGTTAACACCTATGTCACCTTGCGGTATTTGTTAACTCCTATGTCACCTTGTGGTATTTGATTACACCTAAGTCACCTTGTGGTATTTGTTTAACCTATGTCATCTTGCGGTATTTGTTAACACCAAAGTCGCCTTGTGGTATTTGTTAACACCTTTGTCTCCTTGTGGTATTTGTTAACTCCTATGTCACCTTGTGGTATTTGTTTACCCCTATGTCACCTTGTGGTATTTGATTACACCTAAGTCACCTTGTGGTATTTGTTTACCCCTATGTCACCTTGTGGTATTTGATTAACCTATGTCATCTTGCGGTATTTGTTAACATTTGTTAACACCTATGTCACCTTATGGTATTTGTTAACACCTATGTCCCCTTGCGGTATTTGTTAACACCTATGTCGCCTTGTGGTATTTGTTTACACCTATGTCACCTTGCGGTATTTGTTATCACCTATGTCACCTTGTGGTATTAGTTAACACCTATGTCACCTTGTGGTTTTTGTTAACACCTATGTCACCTTATGGTATTTGTTAACACCTATGTCACCGTGTGGTATTTGTTAACACCTATGTCCCCTTGTGGTATTTGTTAACACCTTTGTCTCCTTGTGGTATTTGTTAACACCTACGTCACCTTGCGGTATTTGCTAACACCTATGTCACCTTGTTGTATTTGTTAACACCTTTGTCACCTTGTGGTATTTGTTAAACCTATGTCATCTTGCGGTATTTGTTAACACCAAAGGCGCCTTGTGGTATTTGTTAACACCTACGTCACCTTGCGGTATTTGCTAACACCTATGTCACCTTGTTGTATTTGTTAACACCTTTGTCACCTTGCGGTATTTGTTAACACCTTTGTCACCTTGTGGTATTTGTTAACACCTATGTCACCTTCTGGTATTTGTTAACACCTATGTCACCTTGCGGTATTTGTTAACACCTTTGTCACCTTGTGGTATTTGTTAACACCTTTGTCACCTTAGGGTATTTGTTAACACCTATGTCACCTTCTGGTATTTGTTAACACCTATGTCACCTTGTGGTATTTGTTAACACCTATGTCACCTTGTGGTATTTGCTAACACCTATGTCACCTTGCGGTATTTGTTAACACCTTTGTCACCTTGTGGTATTTGTGAACACCTATGTCACCTTGCGGTATTTGTTACCAGCTATGTCACCTTGTGGTATTTGTTAACACCTATGTCACCTTGTGGTACATGTATTTGTTACCAGCTATGTCACTTTGTGGTATTTGATAACACATATGTCACCTTGTGGTGCCATTGTTGATCATATTAGCCCTCATTTATATATTTTCAAATAAAATTGTAGTTCAATAAGTCATTGACCCGGGGGCGATACTATAAACGCCATTAAACAGACCAATCAGAGAACAGGGCTTAGTGTGAAAAATATCAAACAAGAGGCCCAGAGGGCCTGTATCGCTCATCTGGATATCTAAGCAATCATGGCAAAATATTCTCCAAATGAAATCCAAGGAATTATGCCAGACCCCAAGGCCAGTCATTGAAGCATGTCTGTATTATATTTTGCATGCCCAGCATCAATTCTAATATAATGACTGCATTTGCCTCTTTATGCCCAACAATTGTATATACAGTTTTGGGGTGGGGATCTTAACCATTTCAAAGTTATGACCCAGGGGTTAAGTCTCCAATGGTGGGGCAGTCCCCAAGGCCATCCTTGAAGCATATGTGCATTCATCTCTTTACACTCAGCAAGTGTATATATGGTTATAGGGCGGGGATCTCAACTGTTTCTAAGCTGTGACTAAGGAACTAGGTCCCTAGGGGTTTGGTCACACCCCAGGGTCTATTCTAATATCATGACTGCACTCGTCTCTTTATGCCCAGCATTTATATATATAGTTTTGGGGTGGGGTTCTCAACCGTTTTAAAGTTATGGCCCAGGGACTATGTCTCCAAGGGTGGGGCTAGACCCTAGGGCTATCCTGGAAGCAAATGTGCATTCTTCTCTTTACACTCAGCAATTGTATATATGGTTATATGGTGGGGATCTTAACCATTTCCAAGTAATACACTTTTTTTGGCCCCACCCCTTAGCCCGGGAGGTCAGCTTCACCATTTGTACAATTTTGAATCTCCACTACCTAAGGATGCTTCCAGTCAAATATGGTTGATATCCATCTCTTAGTTCCATAGAAGAAGTCGCTTAAAGCGATATAGCCAAATTGCCCCCTCTTTGCCCCGCCCCTCAGCCCCCTGGGGGATCAGCCCCATCATTTGTACAATTTTGAATCCCCAACACCTAGGGATGCTTCCAGTCAAATAAGGTAAATTCCAATCAATGGTTAAGAAGAAGAAGTCGTTGAAAGAAATTGTTGACGGACGGACGACGGACGCCACGGTATAGCATAAGCTCACCTGAGTCCTTCGGACCCGGTGAGCTAACAATGACAATGGTCTTTGCTACTTTTCACATTGAACCGACCAATCAGAGAACAGGGTTTAGTGTGAAAAATATAAAACAATGGTCTTTGCTAATTGTGACGTCACATTTTGCTTTAGTGTTACATCCCAATAAATCATTCCTTTCCTTTTCCCAACATTTTCTTTTGCGGGATATGTGTTTTCTGTTCACTAAGGCGTTTGTTTGTTTAATAAATGTGTAAAATAATATATAAAAGAATATGTTTGGTTTCCAGATGAATAACAGTTATACTTCAATTGTTGGTTGAATAGTTGTTTATAGTTCTTACCTGTGCTACGCACTTGTGATATACACGAAAATATCCCAATCACTTTATGCTATAACTGTTATTCACATGAAAATATGATTAGCCTCTATATACACACCCTCTTGCTTGTGAAGAACCTGTGTATACCAACCCAACTCGGTTGTGTGAAACCTCTCTGAATACGAACCTCTTCTGTGACAGAAGAATACCACTGTTGCTGTGGCGGCTAGTAACATCAGGATGGGTACAGCTATAACAGTGGCAACCTGTAGGTCAGCTATACCAGCTGGTCCGCCAGTCGTTACCTCAAACCGCTTCTGTGGCACAACTGAAAATACGTAACAGTGGCTTTATTATACATTGTACATAGTTACTAGAAATAAGTAACAGTGACTTTATCATACATAGTACATAGTTACTAGAAATCCGTTACAGTAGCTTTATTAGACATTGTACATAATTACTGGAAATACGTTACAGTGGGTTTATTATACATTGTAAATAGTTACTAGAAATATGTTACAGTGACTTTATTATACATTGTGCATAGTTACTAGAAATACTTTACAGTGACTTTATTCTACATTGTACATAATTACCAGAAATACGTTACAGTGGGTTTATTATACATTGTGCATAGTTACTAGAAATCCGTTACAGTAGCTTTATTAGACATTGTACATAATTACGAGAAATACGTTACAGCGGCTTTATTATACATTGTGCATAGTTACTAGAAATGCGTTACAGTTGCTTTATTATTCATTGTACATAGTTAATAGAAATACGTTACAGTGACTTTATTCTACATTGTACATAATTACTGGAAATACGTTACAGTTGCTTTATTATTCATTGTACATAGTTATTAGAAATACGTTACAGTTGCTTTATTATACATTGTGCATAGTTACTAGAAATAAGTAACAGTGGCTTTATTAGACATTGTACATAATTACTGGAAATACGTTACAGTAGCTTTATCATACACTGTACATAGTAACTAGAAATACGTTAAAGTAGCTGTAATATACATTGTACATAATTACTGGAAATACGTTACAGTGACTTTATCATACATAGTACATAGTTACTAGAAATACTTTACAGTGACTTTATTATACATTGTGCATAGTTACTAGAAATGCGTTACAGTTGCTTTATTATTCATTGTACATAGTTACTAGAAATAAGTAACAGTGACTTTATCATACATAGTACATAGTTACTAGAAATCCGTTACAGTAGCTTTATCATACACTGTACATAGTAACTAGAAATACGTTAAAGTAGCTGTAATATACATTGTACATAATTACTGGAAATACGTTACAGTGGGTTTATTATACATTGTAAATAGTTACTAGAAATAAGTAACAGTGACTTTATCATACATAGTACATAGTTACTAGAAATACTTTACAGTGACTTTATTATACATTGTGCATAGTTACTAGAAATGCGTTACAGTTGCTTTATTATACATTTTACATAATTACTAGAAATACGTTAAAGTAGCTGTAATATACATTGTACATAATTACGAGAAATACGTTACAGTGCCTTTATTATACATTGGACATAATTACTAGAAATACTTTACAGTGACTTTATTCTACATTGTACATAATTACTGGAAATACGTTACAGTTGCTTTATTATACATTGTGCATAGTTACTAGAAAAACGTTACAGTGACTTTATCATACATTGTACATAGTTAATAGAAATACGTTACAGTGACTTTATTCTACATTGTACATAATTACTGGAAATACGTTACAGTGGGTTTATTATACATTGTACATAGTTACTAGAAATACGTTAAAGTAGCTGTATTATACATTGTACATAATTACTAGAAATACGTTACAGTGGCTTTATTATACATTGTACATAGTTACTAGAAATACGTTACAGTGACTTTATTATACATTGTATATAGTTACTAGACATACGTTACAGTGGCTTTATCATACATTGTACATAATTACTAGAA